TGAGTTAAACATTTACCTCAAGTAGACACACACCCTGGAGAGAACAATCATGGGAGAAGGAAGGGCTGCTTATGCACAGGGAGACAGCTCAGGGCGCAGAAGAGTATGGAGGGATGGACACTGGGAGGAGGTAACTATGGGAAGGAAGTGGGAGGGGAGCTGTTGCATTGTAAATTTTGGTCAATGACATGAGAGAATGTATATGTGAACTGCTGTATGAAAAGTGAATTTACTCTGTAAATCTTCACCCAAATCCTAATAAAATTAAACAAAATAATAATAAAGTGCCTAGTATAGCAGGGTGAAGCCCCAATCCATAAGAAAAAGACATAGCAGTGCAGACTTCTGAAGTGGAGCTTCCTCACTTTGGAGGTCTGAATCAAGAGAGAGGAACTTCCAATTTCCACATCTTACCCTTTAGAATGACCAAGTGTCAGAGAATGACACAGAAAAGACCTTCTGCGTAGGTAGTTGGACCTGGCTCACATGCAGAGTGGCTATGGCCCATGCCTCTGAAGGCCAGGTTCAAGGGCAGCAGTGTGGAAGAGTGGAGCAAGCATAGGCTTTAGCAGCATATAGACACAGGTTCATACCCTACAAATCCTGGGTCTACCTCTTACTAGCAGTGTAACTTCTACTATGGAGTCAAAATTATAGACACTTGACCAAAATAAAATGGCTAATCCAGGGTTTGGTCTCTTACCTTTCTTAACTTCTGGTTCTTGCTGACAGTCTGATAACCTGTACACAGATCCAAGCCTATACCTAAGAAATATTTTCCCTATAGTTAGTCAAGACAAAAAACATCAGCATGTTGTATTAGAATTTTTTTTTTTTATGGAGGTTGCTATCAAAACCCATTGTGTAAAAAGACTCTTGGGGAATATGTAACCGGTACTCCAAAATTTGCATGTTTAAAATAACTAAAATGGCTTATATAAGATCTGATGTAAACTCCATTTTGTCCTAAGCTCTGTTTCTGTTTCTGAGCAAGTGACCCATGACTGTTGATGGATAAGCAAAGGAGGGGCAGCTTGTTCTCAGGAAGAATATGGTTGAAAGTAGATTAATGAATATGCAGAAAGATACTTACACAAAAAACTTGCCTGAGCATTTCCTTAATGATTTACCATAAAGAGCCAACCAGAAGAACTTACATTTGCTAACCAATCAAAATATTCTTTACTGTTAACTCCTGAATCCCACCTATATCTATCCTGTTAGCTGCCCCTAGGATTCATGGTCCAATTATAGACATTCTGGAAGTCTGTAATTTTCCATTCTAATATTCTTGTACTTTCAATAAATCCTTTTGCTTTATTTTAACAGAATTAGAACTTTTTTTCTCCAAGCTACTTCAAACACCCAGTTTCAGGGCACTTGTGTATTGAATGTAGTATCTCAAACCTCATGATTATTCAGCAAGATGACAATCTTTATTGTCATTTTATAGATGAGGAAATCAAGGATCTGAGAGCTTAAATAAATCTGGTAAGACATCAAGATGGGTTGGGTTTTGGATTCATCTGGATCCATCGTACAACATTATCTATGCTGCTCTGATCTCCGCTGCTTCATCATGGTCACCCTGCAGGGCTCTGGGGCCTGTGGGCTCTGAACCCTCCAGATCCTCTCACCAATCTTTCCTTCTCCACAGCCTTCTCTTCTCAGCTTCCTATCACTGAAATTTTGCCTTTAAAGAAAAGTTCAGTAAGGCAAATCTTTTAAGATTCCCAAACCTGGCCACACATCAGAATCAGCTGGCAAACTTTTAAAAAATACAGATGCACAGGCGTGGTCCCAAACCTACTGAATTAGAATCTCCATGTGTGTACCTGGGACTCTATATAATTAATGAGTTCCTCAAGAGGTGCCTATGTACCTAGTCCAACTCCTGTCCACTCACTGGTGTGTGGGAACAAAAATGAACTAAACTCAAACCTCCCCTGTGTGTGCTCTCTGACACATCAAACTCATTTTCAGAGATCTGTGCCTTTGGCTTGTCTCAAAAAGGAGAGTGCAAATGCTCTGGGGAGTATCTCATCTCTTTTCAGTCTTACATGTAAGTGTATCACCTTCTGTTTTGGAGCACATTTTAATAGACAGTTGTTCTGGACTGGATTGTGTCCCCTAAAAATACATGTCACCTTGGCTAGGGCATGATTCTCAGTATTATGGAATTATCCTCCATTTTGTGATCTGATGCAATTATCCCATGTGTTGTAAACCCTAACCTCTATGATGTTAATGAGGCAGGATTAGAGGCAGTTTTGTTAACCAGACAGCATACAATCTACAGTATTAGGTTGTTTCTTTGGTCAATCTCTTTTGAAATATAAAAGAGATTAAACAAGTGAGTAGAGATCAGAGGGAGTTCCTACGACCAAAAAAGAAGACCTAAGAGCAGAGTTTATCCTTTGGATCTGAGACTGTTTGCTGAGAAACTTCTAGAACCAAGGGACAGTTGATGACAGGGACCTTCCTCCAGAGCTGACACAGGGAGAAAGCCTTCCCCTAGAGCTGATGCACTGAATTTGGACGTTTAGCCTCCTAAACTGTGGGAGAATAAATGTTTGTTAAAGCCATTCACTTGTGGCATCACTTGTATCTGTTATTGTTGTTGTTGTTATGTGCCATCGAGTTGGCCCCAACTCACAGAGACCCCTCCTTGGGTTTCTGAGGCAGTATCACTATGGAAGTAGATTGCCCAACCTTCCTTCCAAGGAGTGGCTGGTGGGTTTGACTCGCCAGCCCTCTGGTTAGCAGTCAAGTGCCTTAGGCACTATGCTACAAGAGCTCCTTGTATCTGTTATAGCTACACTATGTAACTAAGACAGAGGTAGATACCACAGAAGGGGAAAGGAGACACAGAAAGGGAAGTTGATATCACTCCTGTGCTTACCTCAAGCCTAACTCCATACCCCAGTTTCTTCTGAACATCATTTTATGGTTGTTTCTGATTGCAGGCTTCCCAGATATACTTGTGAGGAGAAAACGTTTTACTGTGTGTGTGTGTGTGTTGCACAAGTCTTATTTGCACTATTTTCTAATGAGGTTACTGGCATTAGAAGGAGAAACATTTTTCTAGATACCATGGATTTGTTATACCTCATTGTCTTTCCTATTCAAAGATGAAAATAGCAGTTGTAATCTGAGTGGGAACTACAGACAAGATTGAGGATCTTCCCGTCACCAGAAGCAGGTATGACAGTCTGCCACAGTTGGAGGCTTTCCTTGGCTACCCCTGCACCTGAAGTCTTTGCTCACCCGGAAAGCATAACTACAGTCCTGTAGCAACATGCCAGCAGCTCTGCTTTCCCATACGCTTCCACAGAGAATCTTGTGAATCTTGTGAGCAGCTTAGCTTATCTCTTAACTTGTAGTGAGAGCATTTGGTACCACAGGTTGCCCTAGCAGCTGCTGCTATCCAATCTTTGCTGAAGCCCAAGTGGAGGTTTGTCTTGGAATGAGCATTGTCTCTGTGAGGGTGGCTTGGCTTCTTTGGGAGTGACCATGTCCAGCCCCTGAATTGTTAGCAGGCTGCACAGCAAAGGCTGGCATCCCTGAAAAACTCATGAAGTTGAATGTGTTGTGTCTCTGCATATGAAATCTCAGAAAGAATTTCTGCTAATCTGACTTTTCATGTTTCCAGAACTCTTGCCATGTACTGGTTCAGTGGCATCACTAAGTTTAGTGTCACTCAGTTGGGAACTCATGGGTTATCTCCCACCCACATGGACCTCCTCCCATACCAGACCATACAGAATCCTTAGTAATGTTTATTATCAATTTTATTAATAGAATAATATGTGATTAATATAGTTGTAAATTGCTTAAGAGTGATATTTTTTAGATTATATGAATACTAATAACAAAATCGTTTTGTGAAATCTTTCTATATTGAATCACATTAGTAGTTAAAATATTAGTTAAATGAGCAGAATCCAATTGACTCAGTGGCAGTGGGTTAATTGCTACTTCATTTCAAAAAAAGCTATTGATATAGGTCCACAAATACTAATTACCTCAATGTTGTAGCTAAAACGTCAAAAAATTTCACAAAATCAGCGACTATAAAAACACCACGGCATCGAAAAACACAGCAAGTGCATATAGAGATGAAACTACATGACTCAAAGCATCCTTGTAATGGGGTAAAAATGACAGCGCTGACTGGACACATTAGATGGTTCAAAAAGTAAATTAGCACAGAATTTTTGCCTCGCAGGTATATATTGGTACAGGTAAGCTGGGCTTACAAAAAACTGTTTCTGTTGTTATAACCAACTACAGAGACATTTTTATTGAAAATAAATAAATAAATTTCTGCTGAAACACTGCCCCGAAATTTTATAGACAGTCATTTTGGTGTCACCTCCTCTGACAGTGTCACCTGGGCAGTCCACACCCCCCAGATCTCCTTCGTGATGCCACCGTGCTAGCTCCTCCTACAGCCTTGCAGAGGACTTTCTGGGTCTCTGGATCCGTTTCTCTCAAGAGCCCTCTTCACAGCAGATCTTGAACTCCTGTGCACAGAAGACACACATGGCCTTGTTCTCTGACAGTGGAGTCAAGAGTTGTTCTTCTAAAGGTGCTTTTCCTATACTATGTTCTAATAAATCTTTTCCACCTGCAATCTCTAACAATTGAGAGAGCTCTGCAAAAGAATTTAGAAGAATTTAAATAAATACATATATGTATATATTCTATTGAATCACACAGATTCAATCTGAATTACTCACTTGTCAAGTCTCTTTTTATCTAAGGCTTGCTGTATCATTCTGCATTTTTCTTCCCTTTGTAAATCACTGAAAAGGGCAAGAAAGTGAAGAGGCAGTAAGACACATTAAATATGCACACATTACCTTAAAATAAAATTTCAAAAGCCCTCAAATTATTTGATATTCATATTAGTACTTTGATTTGAAATTCTATTTTTGCAGCACTTCACACCAAGTAAGCAAGAAATTAAGACAATCTGAACTGTTTGAAAGGCAAGGAGAAATGATCAGTAGTTTCTAACTAACTAGCTGTTTCCTCCCCTGCTTCATGAAATGAATCCTTCCAATGATTCTCACTGAGCTCAGGCTACTAACTCAGGACAACCCCCAGGCCAACTGGCTGTGTTCCTTAGGGATCTCCAAGATTTAATTGATTTATAGAGTTGTTTAGGGGAAACATAAACATATGCAACTGCTGAAGGAGTGCGTTGGAGGAAACTTCCTGAAAGTCCCAGGATGTGCAGGTGACACTGCAGCCGAGAATGATGGATGCCCCCATGGAGTGATGTAAGGCACACAACCCTCCCCTTTACCTCCTGCTAAAACCCTGTTGCCTCCGATAGATTGTTTTTCCCCTTCACTTCCAAACCACATCAAATTTTCAGCGTTAAATCGCTTCCTTGAATCAGAGCTGTGGTTCTTAAATTTGAGCATGTGCCTAAGGCACTTGACTGCTAACCAGAAGGCTGGCGGTTCAAACCCACCAGCCACTCCTCGGAAGGAAGGTTGGGCAATCCTACTTCCGTAGTGATACTGCCTCGGAAACCCAAGGAGGGGTCACTATGAGTCAGATATGGCTCAATGGCAGTGTGTTGCGTTGTTTTTGCATTACTCTTTCTTTAACAAAATCTTAGGGAAGGTCAGTGTATAATATAACACTCCTCTCCTCCTGGGATTTCCCAAGGCACTTCTACTACCCCTCTATAGCTCAGGGAAACCCAATTAAAAACTAGTATACTATTGGAAATAAGTTCTAAGAATGAAGACGTAGGCCCATTGAACATTTCACTGAAGACCAGGGCTTATGGTCACTAGTACTCTGGAAGATTTTTACAATAATTTTTTTATAATTTAGAAGCTTCCTCATAGTATGTTTTTGATAAGCCATGTATTTTCCCTGTAGCCATTAGAAACAAAAACCCTTTAAAAATTAATAGTGATTAACCAGACGGCTGGCGGTTCAAACCCACCAGCCACTCCTCGGAAGGAAGGTTGGGCAATCCTACTTCCGTAGTGGTACTGCCTCAGAAACCCAAGGAGGGGTTGCTATGAGTCGGGTTTGACTCGACAGCACATAACAACAACAGTATGTTTATCTTAGACCTGCAATTGGGTAGGAATTGGAAAGTATGTGTCTTACTCTGCTAAGAGAATGAGTGATCAGGGAGAAGAATGGAATCTAAGCAAAGGATCGGCAGTGGAAGGAGACTCCAGACTAAACCCCCGCTCTCCAAAGGAGGGGTTGAATGGGAGTCTGACTCAGAATGGGAGGCTGTCTCATGGGCTTTACCAGCAGGAAGACTTCATTCCCGCTCATGTCCTCCGAAATCAGCCATGTCGGACTAGAGTGACCTGTACTTTGGGGTTGATGCACACATCCACACACGGTTCCATGTGGCCGTCTCCAGAGTAGCCTCAGTTGGGCACTCAGAATAACATGGATAGGATCAGCCCTGAGCAAAACTGGGGATGAGATCCAGGCATCAGTTATTTTTAAGATCTTACGGTGATTCCAAGGTACAGCCAGGATGGGAACCACACTCTGAAATATATTAAGTCCCCAAATTACAAACATCCAACTTCCACTTGCTATTTGATGATATGTAAATTTGCCCTTACTTTGAAATGATTGAACCAACCCCTACTTGCAACATAGTCTTCATCACAATCACTTGCACATGTAGCTTTTAAATCACTGAAAAGGCTTTGAGCCTTTCCTTGCACTAAAGCAAGGCTAAATAAGAACCATATACATTTTGATTTACCTACAAATTTGACTTAAAGACACACTTAGGAACAGATCTCATGCATAACACAGGGACTGCCTGGCTGAGGGATTCAGCAGCTGCCCCTCTGAGGAATATTTACTTTTTCTTAGGACATTGGAAGACTGAAAAAACTTCAGAAATCAAGGGAGTTAATCTCAACCAGCAAAATCTTAGGGGAGGTACTATCATAAGGAAGGCGTTATTTGGGGGGAGATGGCATGAACCCCTCATATCATAGATAGAAAGCATTTGCCATCCTGATTGATGGAAGAGTCAGCTTTGATTCTAACTTCATTTAGTCATCCCAAAATGCAACAACAAAATGTCCTTCTATTTCATTCATGAGGAAAATTACTTACCCATTCCAAGTGTACTTCCAGAGCAGGTTACTGTAATAAATAAATAAATAGCATTTAAAATATATTTAGTGATATACTTGAGGTGGTAAAGATGCAACTTAAGAAAGAATTAAAGGAAAGTGAATCAGAATGAATGGGTGATGATGTAGTGGCTAAGGCACTTGACTGCTAACCAGAAGGCTGGTGGTTCAAATGCACCAGTCCTCAGAAGGAAAATCCGGCAATCTACTTCCATTTTGATACCGCCTCAGAAACCCAGGGAGGGGTCACTATGAGTCCAATCAACTTGACGGCAGTGAGTGTTTAGTAAGTTTTGGGTGATAACTACTAGCAATGTGATGTTGGCCAGGTCACTTCACATTTCTGTGCCTCAGTTTCTTACCTGCAATGTGGTAAGAGTAACAATGCCAACCTCATAGGGTTTTTATAAGGATTAATTGAATTAGTATGTCTAGAATATAGGACTCAATAAACACTAGTTGTTTTAATCGTTTTAAGTATTGTCCTGACTGGAATAAGCCATCATTGATATTACTACTAAAATGAGAAAACTTCTCCCAAATGCATGATTTTCACCAAGGAAATAGAAAGGGTTGTTCCCACACTTGAATCTAAATACCCAACCCTTAACTTCCATAGTGATACTGCCTCGGAAACCCAAGGAGGGGTCACTATGAGTCAGGTCTGACTCGATGGCACGTAACAACAACAACAACAACATCTCTACAGAAGTAGATCGCCCAGTCTTCCTTCCAAGGAGTGGCTGGTGGGTTTGAATCGCCAGCCTCTGGTTAGCAGTCAAATGCCTTTGTTGTTACACCACCAGGGCTCCTTATAGGAGGGGAGATTCAAGCTGGTAGAGTTCTTTAAGTGGAGGTGGGGTGGAATTCCAGGCAAAGAGAAGAGCAACTGCATCAACTCAGAGGCATAAGGTGGTAAGGTTTGTGTGTGTGCATGTGTGTGTGTGTGTGGCTGATATGTAGGTGTGTGCATGATTCCATGTTACTGTAGTGTCCTTTCAGTAGGATGTTATGGAACAGCCTCGAATTGTGCTGCCCATTTTGGTAGCCACAAAACAAAACAAACTGGGAGAGAATCTGGGATGTTACATTAGGTGCACTAAGGTTTTACCAGGACCATATAAGATTCATTTTAGCAACAGACTTTTGAGGCATATGTATACCCACATGTAGCTATTAAGCTTTTGAAATGTGGCTAGTCCAAATGGAGACATACTGGAAATATAAAATGCACACCAGATTTTGAAGACTACTAAATAAATAAATAAATAATATGAGTATGGGAGTTTTGTGGACAGGAAGATTGAACATTGTGAAAATGTCATTTCTACCCAAAGCAACCTATACATTCAATACAATCCCAATCCAGATCCTATTAACATTCTTTAAGGATATGGAAAAACCAATCACTAACTTTATATGGAAAGGAAAGACACCCCGGATAAGCAGAGCACCATTGAAGAAGAATAACAACAAAGTAGGAGGTCTCATACTCCCCAGATCTCAAAACTTACTATACAGCTACAGTAGTCAAAATTGCCTGATATTCAAGGTTGTGGTCATTACTTGGTCACAGCCAGCTACCCAGAGGGACCGAGTAGTTGATCCTGAGGGCTTG